CTTACATATACTTATGCAGTGAGAATGGACTGTTTGCCATTCCTCAAGCCACGTCTCACACTTCCCCATCTCTGGGTCTTTACTCATTTGAGACTTTACTCATCTGAGACTTTACTCATCTGAGACTTTACATCATTTCCTATGATTAGAATGTCTCTATCACCCTTATGCACTGTTGAAATTCTATCCCACCCTGTAAGGACCAACTTGACTGTTTTCTTTAAAAAGTCTTAACTTGTGCAATTGAAAGTGCTATCTACTCTCCCTCTGAATTTTCACAGCACTTTGTTTTGTACTTTTTATGCACTTATGTGCTTCATAATATATTTACTTTTGTTCATGTCTTACCTCTCTCAATAAAATGTAAACTTATTTGAAACAATAACAGACTTTTATACCACCCCAAACATCTAGCACACTTCATTTCACATAGAATACCCTGAGTAAATTGTTGTTGCATGGATGGATCAATTAATCATTCCTTCAAAGGAAAACTAATTGTCTCTTACAGCTATTTTGCTGAATGAAAGAAACTTGGACAATTAATTAAAACTGATTAAAAGTTTTTCATTCTAAAAAAAAGGCAAAAAAGTCATCTAATGATCATTTTGTATCTCCATCTAAGTTCTACTTGGGGTAGAACAGTGACCTTGGGTTCTTGAAGATTATTCTAGTGGAACACAAATTCTACCAAGCTGGAAGTGTCAGGGTATAGATATAATGGGAGGAAAAAAGATGTGTATTTGTCATCCAACAACTAATCTTGCTATATTCAAAGAGATACATCACCAGATGACTAGCCGCTAAATGCCAAACTTTTAATCACAGCAACTCCAGAACATGAAAACAAAAATGCTCCCTGTGTGGGTGGAGTCAGTATCCCCAGCAATGAAATTATCTTTCTATTGAAGTATATAATACCTGTTAACAAAGTTAACATTATAAAATCTCCATGCCCTCTATAACAAAGATGTGTTTCAAATTGGAAACCTTCAGACTGATCATCAAAATACCTCCAACTCAAAAGTTAGAGTAGTTTATATTCTTTATACCTTATTATTGGCTTTCTAAAAAATCTCTCCCATATACTTTCCAATTCCACTGCAACTAGACTAATTCAGATCCTAATCTCTTCTCATCTAGACTACTAATTACGTTACTGCTTCCCATCAATTAGGGGGTAATATATTCCTAACTGATTTTCTTGTTTCCTGTCTCCTCTCCAAATCATCCTTCATACTGTTATCAGAGCAACATTCCTAAGATATTACTCTGATCAAATCATCCCAGTACAAAATACTATCAATGGCTCCCCATTGCCTACTGAATAAAATATAAACTCCTGATCCTGGTATCCAAGGTCTTCCACAATCTGTCTTCAACTTACCTTTGCAGAATCATCTCAAACCATACTGTTTCATACACTTTACAATCCAACCAAACTGAATAACTGACTCTTGATGTTTTAATCCCTTCTTCCCATGCCTTTGCTGAAACTATCTCCCATGCTTGTAATAGACCTTCTCCCTAGCTCTCCCTAGCTTTTCCCCATCCATTGAAGTCTCTACTTAAGTCAAGTCACCTTCAAGTCAAGGACCAACTCAGATGTCATTATCTTCCATGGAGTCTTCCTTGGTCCTTCTTCATCAGAAAGAGATACCTTCTTCCTCAAATTTGTGGTAGTCTATTATCAAAACCTCTCCTTTACCTCCATACTGTTCTGCCTGAGAGTTATCTTTGTATAAGTCTTAACCATTCTATTAGATTGTAAACTTCATTAAAATGGTGTTTATGTTGTCTCTCTCTTTACATCACCAGTATCTGGTCCAGTAACTTGCACATATTAGGCACTCAACAAAAATTTTTTGAAGTTTAATTAAATTATAAGCACATTTATAAAATCAACCACACTAAGGCAATGAAAGAAGCCCACATACATAATTTAAGTTATTTAAACAAAAGTACTTTAAAAAATTTAATAAACTGCCAAATCAGGATGAAATTATGCAATGATCTGAGTCCATTGCTACTCTCATCAAAATTAATCTTGAAGATTCTGACTAATCCAGCATGGTACAAGGTTAACATTCCTTTAATAGTTTCTTGTATTCCTTAAAAGTGCAGAGTGAAAAATGCTTTAAACAGAGGATTTCAATGAAGAATTCATGTTTGGAGGCCCAAGTATTTGTAAGAGAAAATACAAATAGCAGAAAGATGGAGAGGAAGCAAAATGATTTACAAAATGATTAAAAGATGCTGCTAATATTTAGGATTTCTTTTCTTACAAGTTTCATATCTCATGCTTCTATAATCATTTTTCTAGAGGAAGAAGAATAGGCAGTTGCAAAAGTGCAAGGTAAATACTTCAGTGTCTCTCCACTGGATTAGAGATGCAAAAATTTTCAAGATGTTACTACCCACGTTGGTCCCTGAAAGATTCCTGTCAATGGCAGTTATACATTAAAATAATAATAGATAGCTAACTATAGTGTTTTAGTAATACAGGATATTTTAATAATAAATAATTAACCATAGTGGTTTAATGTTTGCAAAGTGCCTTATAAATATTATCTCATTTGATTCTCACAACAACACTGAGAAGTAGGTGCTGTGATTATTCCCATTTCACAGATGAAGAAACAAGCTGAGAGGTTAATTAGCTTACCCAAGGTTACCCACCACATAGTCTATGAGATGTGAAAGAAAAAACAGAAAGATAAGTTTAGGGCAGTAGATAAAGGAATAACAGTTAAGTGATTCTCCCTTCCCCTGTACCCCACATCAACCAAGAAACTAGATCTAACTTGCTAAGCCTTGAATTTCAACTTTTGTCCTCACAAGGTCAAAGAATGCTCCATTCAATTTTTGAAATGTTTTTTTAGAGATACATCAAGTTAAGAAAAGGAAAATATCTTATAAATCACTCTTCCTCAGCTGCAAAACTGATTGATGATCTTAAAATCCCTTACAAGTCTCTGGTAGCAGCCATGGTTATTGTTTTAAAGCAAAATCAAAAACAAAAAAAAGGGAATGAAATTATAAGAGAAGTATATCTTGCTTTGTTTTCTTCTCAAAGTACAGGTGAATATTTTGTGAGGGCAGAAAATATACAAGGAAATAGTTTATCCTAACCTAAGATTAAACCCCCAACTTTAGGACTTTTTACAAATTCCTATTTGTAAATTAATATCATTTGCAGGATGAGATTATGTTAAAAGGGCACATTTCTTCCTTTGTAGACTTTAACATGTAAAATAGTTAAAGTAATTAATTTTAGGCAGTAGAGAATGAGTAAAAAGTTCCAAAACGGAAGATAAAAATTGTATAGAGTAAAATAGTATAATACCTCCATGAAGTATAATACAATTTAAACAACTCCAGTTGGAGGGGAAAGATGCACATTGAATGTAAACATTTCCAAAATTTCTCCATAATGAGGGTAAAAACTACAAATGGTTATCAATCAGGAAAGTTGTAGAAGCAATTCCTGCATTGGATGAGAGGTTGAACTGCATGACATATAGAAAGTCTATGAATTTAATTCTAATTCAAATTTGTGCAAAGTAGTTTCTAAACTGCATACTGGACATCATTTTCCCATCCAATTTAATTTTTCTAAATCTAGCAAAATTTAGGATCTTAGATTTTGACATAGAAAGAACATCAGTGATCATCTGGTCCAACCTCCTTATTTTATAGATAAGGAAACTGAGGATCAGATAGGGTAAATTATTTGCCAAGGGTCACATAGGTCACATGAGGGTAGAGCTAAATTTTGAACCCAAATCCTATGACTTCAAATACTATAGTCTTTCCACTGCACTGCATAACCTCCAAGGTCCACATATATAAAGAATCATGTCTAAAACATTCTGATTCCCAGCATTCATTCAGAAAAGAAAATACTTCATGGTTTTTCTATAAGGAAAAAAATGTCTTCTTTTGAAACAAAAATATTCAAATGCATTTTGCTGAAATTCCCCACTCTTATTACCACCCCCTCATAGCACACACAATTGGGGGCCCTGGTGAGACATACAAAATTTTCCAAAAGATCATTTTCCAAAATGTTAGGAACCAGAGAAAATGAAATTATAATGAATATCAGATTATCACCTTAGAGAGAATGATCAAGACTTCCTTTTCTTAAATAATGATTCATATTTTCACCAGCAAACCTTTTATCAAAATAATCCTGACCAAACAAGGGCTCTTTTCCATTTATAAAATGTGCCTTGACATTAAATCATTTTGAATAGAGAATAGCCAAAGATCCCAAAGCTTTTGCATAATACATTCTTATGCTAATATGTGAAATCGCTCATATTTTAGAGAACTGTTTATTTACTGTGAAACTAGTTCTAAGCCTGTGCCTTCGAAGTGGAATAATCTTTTCCAATTCTTACTCTTGAATTCTTGGAAGTAGATTAATGGAGTTTGGGGACCCAAACTGTAAGTAATCCTTTTAGTATTAAAATAGAAAAAATGTCACTCTCAACCAAAATGTCTTCATAAAATTGTATATAATTTCTTTGGGCCCAATCATGAGCATTTATAAGTATTTATATGCCTTGGGGCGGGGGGGGGCGGCGATCACTAAGCTTCCAGAGCAGCACTCCAGGCTGACAGCTGGCACAGAGTCCACCATTTCTCTCCTAGGGCTTTGACTCTAGCTGAAAATATATACTTCTGTCATGTCTTATTCCTAGGCTAGGGGAAAAAAAAAAGTTATCCTGTTTAGTCAGCACACCCTGGGGGAATAACACTCAAATCTGGCTTTGAGAAATAGGTCTAATTTACTAAGTGCAGTGACCCTATCCTCAACTTGGCTGACTGGAGAGACAACATCTTAGATGCACAAGTGTGCCACTGTGAGTCATGAAGTATATAAGAGAAGTCATGAATAAGAGAGTTTCAATTTAGAGCAGAAACTGAAGGGAGCAGAGTCCAGATGGCAAGTTCAGAGCACACTTGTGGGAAAAGAAAGCTATGTTACTTACCTGTAGCACTTTGGTTAAGTTGTTAAAAAGGGCTTGGCCAGCACTAACTTTGTATTTGATGCCTCTGACTGTACCATTTTTGCTTAAAATGTTGACTCGTCTTGTACCAAATCCCTTCTCAGTGGCAGCCCTTGCTAACACAAGCAAGTTATCCTGGTCGTTTTCATTTTCATCGCCCTCTGATCCTAAATGGCCATTTTGTTGTCCTGCTCCTTCGCTTGGACCACTATTGTGATCTGTCCCACAGCTACTGGCACATTCGGAATCCAGCGAGTCTGAAGGTTCTCCATCTTCGTAAACCTCCTTCAGGACTCGCCCACTGTGAGATGAAGCAATCCGAAATCGGACTTTCCGCTGTTTGTCACCTTCAGACTTCATCTCACTCCTAAACGTGGTCCCATCTGCCCAAATGAACAAACAAGTTTATATCATTCTGGTTTCAGTTGGTATTATACCTGCCAACTTGTCACGCTTACAATAATATCCAAGCTCGTTTGGAGGGATGGCAGGTCACATATAGAGGAATCCTGTCAAGGAAAGAGGACTCCCAAGAATGGACAGCACATCTCTGCAATGAATAATGAATACAAGGGTGTGTGCTATGGTTACCTTTAAACTAAAACCTGCAAAGTGATCCCATCCATCAAATATTGAACAGGCATGCTTTGACTCTAACAGTGCACACATGAGTAAGGGGGCATGCAATGAAACAGAAAATAAGTGTAAGATAGGAAAATGAACTTAACATGTTTAAAGCAAATAGTGTTGAAAGAGTTCCTGGTAGAAGGAACATCTCTTTCACTGTCCTTTGACTAGAGGAGCCAGGGAGAAGATATTGACTCAGAAGGAAATGTAAGAGATGTGTCAAGAATCATGGTCTCCTCACCTAGGAATGTAATTTGTCAGAAAACAAAGATTTTTTTTTTCTCTTCCATACTCCTTTTCCAGGATAAAACTTAATAAGCCAGTATATAAAACATAATCATCTCATGCAGTAAAACTATGTAAATTCATTCTCTTAAACTACTATTAATGCAAATGTTTTCTTATTAGTATGTCTTCTAGTTAGTGTAAGCTGAATTCCCAGAAGATAGCATCATGTTCAATCCCAGCTAACTAGAGGAATTTTCCTTGGGGGGAAAAATTTTTTTGCTTTCATTAAGTTGTGTAGAGTAATAACTTTTTTCTGATGCTATACTAGTCCATGGGTTGAGGAACACTCTACTCTGACTAAACACACAGCTTCAGGGCATGCACAGAGCAATGAGAAAGGAAAAAGAAATCCATCTAAGCAGCCCAATCAATCCTAGCAATCAATGGGACAATAGATGTTGTATCCAGATTGCCTATCCTACCAACTTGTGCATTATAGTTTTCCTCATCATAGACTCTTTTTGGGGGTAGGGGGTGCGGGGCTAGGCAATGGGGTTAAGTGACTTGCCTAGGGTCACACAGCTAGTAAGTGTTATGTGTCTGAGGTTGGACTTGAATGCAGGTACTCCTGAATCCAGGGCCGGTGCTCTATCAACTGCGCCACCTAGCTGCCCCTATCGTAGACTCTTTCAAAGGACCAGATGCTTGTTAGGAGTCTGTCTCTTAACTCTCCTTAGTAATATAACTGACCCGTCATTACCTTCTGGCTATTGAGAATGTTGGTGTGGTGAAGAGGATAATGGGCAGTAAAGTGCTCCTTCTCCCACTTATCCCTGACTGAAACAATAGGTCTAAGAAAAGAGAATGGGTTGCATTATCATATTAATGTGACAGTTTTCTGTTGTTAATAGCTTTGGACCTCCCTTATTATTCAGAATTCATCTTTCCTTGTAAAAGGAAGCAGCACTCCCAATGGTGCTCACAGCTGGCATTGAGTTTGGCATGCAGAAGGTACAATTCTGCCTTCAAGGATCAAGAAAACTGAACAGCAAACTATCGAAACTGCAGCAAGAGGGAAGGTGATTACATAAGCCCCAACTGGAGTGGAAGAACAAAAGGAAGGGTACATAAGACTTCTACTTGTCCCTCTCATTCTCTTCTTTCTTTTCCCTTTCTTCTATGTCTTCCCAGTGAACAAAGCTGGTGGTAGCTGCCATGTGGCCTCTTCTGGCAGAAAAAAAAGCAATACTTTTCTGATCCCCTCCCCCAGCTCCTGGTACCTTTGTTCTCCCCTCTCTTTGACTGATGTGGAGCTAAGAGTTTTCAGTGACCTCATATCATGATCTAATTGGGCTGCCCAGGAGAAATGACCTAATTCTGTCATTTCAGCAGAGAGGACTTGGAATCAGGACTCCTAGGTTCAAACACTACCTTTGATACTAGCTATGTAACCCTGGGTAAGTCTTCTCTGAGTGCCAAAATCCTCATCTGTAAAGTGGGGACAATAATACTGACATGGCCTTCTTCACAGAGCTGTTTTCAAGTCATTTTTATTATTCTATCTACAGGAAAGTATGGTGGTCTGTAACTTTAGGGTTATTGTCAATAATTATATTCATGCTATACAAAGAAATCATTTCTGACAGACTTCCATATTTTTGCTTGAATACAAATTTTCCAGAAAGTCCATACACTCACATGTCTTCATGTTTTTCATACTCTCTTAAGACAAAAATCATCCCTATTTAGTGTACTTCAACAAGCCAAAAATACACACTAACATCCACCAGTTATAGATACCAAGAGTTGTGATTGTGAATGGAGAAGTCCATTTTACCATCAAGTTCCTCCCTAGAACAGTGTTGCTAACCAACCCTACTCAGGTGCTACCTCATCAAAGAGGTCTTCCCTGATTTCTCCAACATAGAAGTGATCCCTGTCTGATTTCTCCTAGAACATTGTGTCGCTATTTTTTATTTATCCCACTAAATCTTATGTCATAGTTATTTATGTACATGTTTTATTTCCCCTATTAAAGTGTTTGGAGGTTTTGTTTTGTTTTACTATTTTATGTCATGAATCCTCTTGGCAATCTGGCAGAGTCTATGGACACCTGCTCAGAATAATGTTTTCAAATAAGTGAATAAAATGCTAAATTTCAGCTAAAAGTTAGTGAAAATAAAGATGTAATTTCTTTCTATTGAAGTTCACAGATCCTTTAAATCTACTTATCAACCCTGTAGTGATCCATAAACCCAAAGTTAAGAACCTCTGCTTTAATAGACTTTCACATCTTTAAAAACAGGGTATGCATTTTATTAATTATTGCACCCCTAACACATAGGACAAAACCTTGCACCTTGTAGACACTAAATCAATATTTGTTGAATTTAATTAAATTTGTGGAGGGGCTCCCCAATGGACCATTAAAAGGCTTCTGGGTCAATCTGGAAACTTTTGCTTTATCTTGATTTCTCTGTGCCATCAGCACTTCAGCGAACATCTGCTCAGCAAACCTCCACATAGAAGATCCTCACTTTCAACTCCCCCAGCTCTGAGTCTGTGCCCCAAAGGCTAGATGTTAGCTCATCAGGAAACAAGTCCAAAGAACCAAACAAACTGGACACTTTTCTTTGAAACAAACTTTTTTAAAAATTCAATTTGAAAGAAAAAGGAATGGGAGTGGAAAAGGGGAAATCTAACCTAATAAAAAATCAGCACATAAATAAAATATAACAGTAGACCCTAAGTAACTAAAAAGAAAAAGGAATAACAACTACAGGAAAGTAAAAGTACACAAACACCAGACCAAATAAATTAAACTCAATGACGTAAATGGTAGTATAATCTAAAAAAATGATAGTCCATATGGGGGAGAAATTCATGGTGGTCTGAAAAAAATATAGGATCATAGAAGGGCCTTAGGGGGTCATTAAGTCCAGACCTCTCATTTCACAGATCAGGAAACTGATGCTGAGAAAGGTTAAGTGACTTGCTCACAGTCACACAAACACCAAGTGTCTTGGGCAAGATTTGAATTCAGGTCTTCCTGACTTCAAGACCAGCACTCCATCCACTAATGGAGAATCAACAATCTGATATCATGTCCCCAGAAACTCTCAATTCCACTGGAGACATCCTGGAAAGAAATTAGCCCAAGGTGAAATGTGTCCAAGTCCATTATCTCTGATCCTTTGCCTCTTAGGTTCCCTAGTCCTCTGTTGGTCCTAAATCCACTGGCCCTTTCTGTGCTTTTGAGTTATCTTGATAATATCATATTTGAAGTAGTGGATGCTGGACAAAACTATTGGGATTTCTAAACCAAGGAAATCTGATTTGACACCAGGTTTGATGAGATTCTCCACCTTTTCTAGAACTTGCTTTCTACCTAGTTCTATTTATGGGTATGAGCTCTCCCTACTCACCATCATCAAGGCAATCCTCTGTGCCCCTCAGTAATACTGAACACCCATTCAGTCACTCTGAAATTTTCCTATACTAGTCCCTGGTCTACTTAGACAAGCAAGGTATTTTCTCACAAAGACCCCCAAAATTCCTTCCTTAAGCTTCATAATCTCCTTCATTATTCACAAAGCTAACTCCTTCACCCTTCTTCTAGTTGTCTTTTTGGATCTAGGCAACAACTGAGACTCTTACCCTCTCCACTGGCCTGCTTCTCCCTGACCTATTCAGTTGGCCAGAAGTATGCCAATGTGACCCCATTTCTGGGAACTTTGGGGATCAGAATCTTCTTCAAAGCAAAGCTAATGAGGCTCTACCAAAGTATCTACTTTTGTTAGTCATCTGGAAGACTTGGTTCAAATATAAGGCATTTCATAAGAAACAAATGTAGTAAAATAACAACAAATGTTGTCAGAAGTCTTGAGCCCACCTTCCTAATGAGTGCACATATACCTCATTTCACAGCAAATTACACTTTGAGAAATAGGTCTAATTTACTAATGAGCTCATACTCATTAAGAAGAGTAGATCTATATATTTGAATAAATCAGTGAGTATTTAATAAGCACTTATTATATGCCAGTCATTGTGCTGGGGTTATAAAGAAAATTTTAAAAAAATAGTTCCTGTCTTCAAGGAGATGTAATGGTGGAGACAACATGGAAACAACTATCTATATCTATATATATTTATATCTATATCTATATCTATACATAATTACTGGTTGGTAATTTCAGAGGAAAGACACTAGTATTAAGGTGGGCCAGGAAAGGCTTCTTGCAGATTGTAGAATATTAAAGCAATTCTCAGCTGGGGAAGGCAGAAGGCAGAGATGAAGAAGGAGAACATTCTAGGTCTGAGAGACAGGCAGAGAAAAAGTCAGAAGATGGAGCATCTTGAGTGAAGAATAACAAAGAAGTCACTCATTTGCAGTTATGTGGAAAGGAATAAAGTCTAAAACGATCGTCTTTGAAAGGCAAGAATCGTATTGGAACATACAAACATGAAACACATGTGAGGTGTTACACATAAGTAATACATGACTAAAGTACATAGGAAAAGCAAT